GGATACCTACAAGTTTAAGTGAAAGAATAAAAAGATTATAACAAGGATAACACATAAAGCTTCTAAAGTGGAAGGAAAAGATTTTCCGACCATTACAAATTCAAACAATGAGTTTTCCTTCGATAAGCCTTTATGTCCCCATGATAGCTCGGGTTTGAGTTGTTTTGAAGTGGAAGGGAATAATGCGGAACAATACCAAGAGAAAATCTAAAATCAATTACGAAAAGTAATAAATAAGATAAACATTATTTTTTCACTAGTAAACTTGTATTTAACTCTATTTTTTCTTGTTGTATTTTATTTTTTTTAGGTATAGTCGTGATAGGACTTTTATCTTTTATTTAATTAGGATTATAATTTCTTTATTGATTAAAATATGAATTTTAATTATATTAGATTCTACTAGTTTCCTAATTTTAGACTTCTTATATTAGTAAGATTAACGGATAATTTTTCCTATATGTAAGGGTTTTGTACACTTTTTTAGAGTTCAATTCATTATTCGATTCTTGATTAGATATTTCAAATTTTCAATTTATTGGCGGAATTCGAGAACCCATTCATGTGTTATGAACTAAACACATTTATTTTTATTCACGCTTCCGTCCCGCATCAAAGAATATAAAGAATATAGTAAACTATTTTAAAGATATTGAAGGAAATTGATCGGTTTCCATCTGAAACTGGTCAAGATTTGAAATTGTAAACATAATTACTGAATACTTAACTAGACTACTCAACGAAGATTTTTTTTTAATAGTAATTTGGATTATTTATGAGTCGATTATTTTTTATTTTAGTAGATTTTTATGCTTATGATGAAATTATTGAGCAGACTACGGAGAAGTATGAAAATATACAATCGATAAAGCAACACAATTATGTAATTCCTCATCACTGTATGTTACGTAGTGTATATATGTATACTGAAAAAAAAATACAATTTTGTGTAAACCAATACTAATCCACTCAAAACCAAAACTTTAATACAATAATTGATACTTTGGTCAATTGTCCATTACCAAATAGTAATAATTAATTATCCTAAATTTTTACCAATTAACCGATCAAAATTAAAGCCCTTACATCAAAGTCGAAACCCTCTTCGTCTTTAATCCTTGTGTCGCAAACATTGAGAATCAAAAGCTCCACAATACCGATGATTTTAAATTTATAGTTTGATATACATACATGTTTTTTCCTTTATATATATATATAGCTGGACAATGAAGAATTTAATGAAGAATTTTTAGAGAAATTGTCTAATTATGCTAATATTTTCTTAACAAGCCATATTGACGAAAAAAAGATTAAAGGACTACTGTGTAGGAGACCAACACAGTAGTCCTTTAATAGATTAAAAAAAAGGGGGTTTCTCAGTCCACTTTTGAAGAATATTTGTGCAATTATGATAGAGATAAACCAAGCAGGTTTAATTTAATAACTCATAAAAATATTTGTGAATTATGATAGAGATTTGAAATCAGATTTACATACTGAGAATTTGAAATCATCTTCAGTTATATAAAATTTCTCAATCCGCTTACGAAGAATCAGTATAAAATGAAGATTTTTTTTTTAATAGTAATTTGGATTATTTATGAGTCGATTATTTTTTGCTTTAGTAGATTTTTATGCTTATGATGAAATTACTGAGCAGACTACGGAGAAGTATGAAAATATACAATCGATAAAGCAACACAATTTAAAAACATTCACAAATCCTAACAGAAAGAGAAACATGAAACCAGACGTTGAAATTGATCATCCCAAGTCGGGAAAATAAAAATTAAAAAAAAAATATCTTATAACGAACAAGAACGTGGATAATAAACATCATTGGACGTAGAGCAACTCTTGTAGTTGCGCAGGCAATGAAAAAACTTTCTTATCCTCGCGAAAAACGGCCCGTTTCTGAGTTTGAAATCCTGCATCTTCTTCAAATTTCTTGCTGATCTAAGCCTCCTGCATATAACCCTTTTCACTTTAATGGAAGATTTTTTAAACCGCTCTGTGACAGTTTGCTTCGTGCTGAACTTTTAGCTTCTCAAGAATATTTGCCTCTTCTCCATCTTAATTCTGAACGTGTCCATTGAATCTGCATTCGTATCGTTAAGTCCCATGCTTAAACACGAAAATTTGTGCTGCGCTCGTATAGAGTTTTGAAGAGAGGAAGAATATATGGCAAATAGATTGAGGGAGAGGGTTTATACATACATAGAGTAAGAAGGAATTGGACTTCTCTAATTTCTTGTATAGTAAGGATAGGACTTCTCTATTTTGCATATTTCGATTGTGGGTCGCTTGACATGGTGAAGTACTAGATTAGTAGGCCAATTGTTTAATCGACTGGTCACGAATTGAAGTAATATATGAGATTTAAAATCAGATTTACATACTGAGAATTTGAAATCATCTTCAGTTATATAAAATTTCTCAATCCGCTTACGAAGAATCAGTATATAACATTTAATTTAGTTTATTTTCAAATTCAAATTGTCATGAATATTTTGTTAGTCTGCAAACCCTAAATCACCTTTGGGCTTTGGATCAATTTTCTAACTCCAAAAAGATTAAAAACATTCACAAATCCTAACAGAAAGAGAAACATGAAACCAGACGTTGAAATTGATCATCCCAAGTCGGGAAAATAAAAATTAAAAAAAAAATATCTTATAACGAACAAGAACGTGGATAATAAACATCATTGGACGTAGAGCAACTCTTGTAGTTGCGCAGGCAATGAAAAAACTTTCTTATCCTCGCGAAAAACGGCCCGTTTCTGAGTTTGAAATCCTGCATCTTCTTCAAATTTCTTGCTGATCTAAGCCTCCTGCATATAACCCTTTTCACTTTAATGGAAGATTTTTTAAACCGCTCTGTGACAGTTTGCTTCGTGCTGAACTTTTAGCTTCTCAAGAATATTTGCCTCTTCTCCATCTTAATTCTGAACGTGTCCATTGAATCTGCATTCGTATCGTTAAGTCCCATGCTTAAACACGAAAATTTGTGCTGCGCTCGTATAGAGTTTTGAAGAGAGGAAGAATATATGGCAAATAGATTGAGGGAGAGGGTTTATACATACATAGAGTAAGAAGGAATTGGACTTCTCTAATTTCTTGTATAGTAAGGATAGGACTTCTCTATTTTGCATATTTCGATTGTGGGTCGCTTGACATGGTGAAGTACTAGATTAGTAGGCCAATTGTTTAATCGACTGGTCACGAATTGAAGTAATATATCAATATCGATTAACGGTCAATTGAAAAAAATATTGCGTGGATATAATCAAACAGCAAAAGTTATAGTGTCCCGTATGAAAAAAATTATGTAGCATTGTAATTTAATAATGAAAATATCTTAAATAATCTCATTATTATTTTAAATCAAAATCAAATATATATTTTTCAAATTCTTTGAATTCTGTGTAACGCATTTTTAAGACAACCAATTATTAACATAATAATGATCGATTATTGAAAATTTGAAATTGCAATAACTTCCTTGTGAGAATAATTACTTTCCTAATATTGTTACAAATTTGTATTCACCGTTTTAACTTAATTTCCTCCTCACCAAATATTTTATTTTTATGTTTATATTGGATTATTTTGAAGCTGCAATATATATGAACGTCCTTAATCGTATATATGTTTATTTTACTAAGATGTGAAATGCTTAATATCAGTCAATTGTTTGTAAAGCAATTTGTATCAATATATAAAAAGAAAAGCTATGAGACTCCATGATACTCCATTTGCAATTTTGTAATATATTTTTTTACTGCATAAAGAGAAGGAAAAATTTATAATTTAATGGTCAAAATAGAGGGAATGACGAGTTTTATTATATAATTGAAAGGTTTCGGATTTATAATTCCAAAAAAGGTTGATAGTAGCACTACAACAAAATGGTCTTTTTAATGCACGCCGTAAAAAGTCATTTATGGCGTGCGACCGCATGCCGTATAAAGCAATGCCGTAAATAGGAAGATTTTTTTACGGCGTACTGATAAGTGTGTTTTTACACACTTATTTGGATCATAAACATGACTTAAACATGGATAAAATGGTGGAATTGTGACTTGATCCAGTTAAATTTATGTATTGTAGGTAATTCAATGGAAATTGTGAAATTCAGGAGAAAAGAGCCGAAGAAGGACCAAAACACAACAATTTGATAGTTCGAGGACCAAAGGTGCAAATATTGAAAAGTTGAGCTAAATGCAAAAAGAGAGGGAAGACATGCCAAGTATAAGCTCAATGACAAAGCAAAACAACTGGAAGAAGAAAATATTGAATAGGGACTGAAATGAAGACAATTGAAAGTTGGAGGACCAAAGCGCAAATACTCAAAAGATATGCCGAATGAGGGGCATAAGAATTGATGGTATCAATCATCAATTGGAAGATAAAATTTGTTGAAAAGATGAAGAAATCGAAGAAAGAAGTCAAGAGAAGCAACAAAGAAGTTCGGGGACCAAATTGAACAAACCACATAGATGTTACATCTATGCGACCGCATAGTGTAACCTTCTATGCGGTCGCATAGAGGGTTCCAGGGACTCAATGAGCCCAAAAATATTGATCTATGCGACCGCATAGATTCCTTCTATGCGGTCGCATAGAAGGATTTTGGAACTCCCGGGCGTACGCCGTAAAAGAATGCCGTTAATAACTTTTTATGGCGTTCACAAGCACGCCGTAAAAGCTCACTATTTACGGTATGCATTGCATGCCGTGAAAAGTTTAAACTTGCTTTTTATGGTGCACACATGCCCACCGTAAATAGCGAGTTTACATTTTTACGATTTAGCTTTTTAAAAATATTTGTCTATTTGGTTACCAACAAACCCATAATAATTACAAAACAAAAAGATACACATTAATCATATATAAACAGATTTTATATATGTCCGATAAACAAATAAATTGTTTTTATATTTTAATTACAACTTCACTAATTTATTCAAAAAATATATATAAATTCAACGCCATAAATGAGCCAAAGACGAGGTACATAATTGTAATAATCGGGTAACAAATGTTACGCTTATGAAGGAAATAAAAATCGAAAAGGTTCGACACATACTTAAAGAGAGTAAGGCAATGAAAAAGAGAGATTACTGAAATTGGGAACACAATAGTTTTCAGCTGTGTGATGTCAAAAAATAGTAATTACAGGAAATGGATTCTACATTTGTCCGAAGTCTTTCTCCTCTTGATGTGTCTACCACAAACTGTCTTACATACAGCATGGAGATATAATCCTACAAAATAGAGTGAAACTACAATAGGCTAAGAATACAGAGAGGAGAAACAAACAAAATTTCAATCATAACACAAGGCATTGCAACTCAATGAAAGATGAAACTCTCTCGATGAATTTCCTGCTAAAATAAGCTAAAATCGTAAAAATTATACAGAAAAGGGCCATATTTGTTTTTAGACAGAAGAATATTACAATTTTCTCCAAGCACATTTATCCTACCAGAGCTTTGCATAAAGTTCACTAAAAAGATCGTCTTGAAGGTTACATCAATTTTATTACCTCGCAACACTAATAAAAATTCATAATTAATATTTTATGACATATCAGCATGGTTCTATTTTTTTACTTGAGATATTAATCTAATCTTATAACACTCTTTCATTGAAAAGTACATGTCAAATAGTTCAGAGATGCAAAAGAGAGATCTACAAAAAAATTTCAATGACTATTAACTCTACAATATAAATTCTATGAGCCGAAAGCGTGAATTGATGAAGTTACCTACTGATTCAAATAAGAGGTGTCAGTTTTGTTGAAAGCACCTTTGACAGCCCAAATAATCGAACAAACATCCACTGAAACTCATAGTACTTAATTTGGAGCACAAATTATTGTCCACTGTTTCTTTATGTTTTTTATTCACTCTCAATTTACAATTAACCTCCGACAACTACACCGATCAGTATGTAAAATACATAAAAGTGAACTCCAATGAAACATTAATCAGAGTATTAGCCTATCATAAGACCTAAGATTGCAGTTCAGAAGGGATGAAAAACAGGTCGAGATATAATTGTAGGCCTTAGTAAAATCCCAGCAACTTCTTTACTGAGGGAGAGAAAGAACAACTAATTTTCCATTGAACTTGTATGAAGAAAAAAGGTACGGATTTCCTTTTTTAAGGGTGAAATGTACTTAAAATTTAGCAATAAAAACTCACGCCCCATTTGTTCCCCCAATAAACAGCCCCTAATCTCGCCAAAGAGATGAACCTACACAAAAATACCTGCTCAAAGGGTCCAACTTCTAGAATCCAATAAATATTGCTCCTAGATTTCAACTGCTACCTAATATGTATGTATTACACGAACCCAAAAGTAACCCGGTTCTAAATACTTTCTCCTCTCGAGACTCAACAACTATCTATCATTTTCACTTTCTATACAACTATAATGTTGACATGTGTAACTTCAACCAATTTCTACGAAAATTACATTCACAGACTACTACATCTATATGTACAAAATCAACACTGAGTAATTCACCGAGTAATGATATCTTGTAATAAATTACCACCCTCCCAGTAGCAGATTGAGAAGTCCAGTAAAAAACAGTTCCACTAGTCCTCAACACTCTTGCTTTCATCTATTTAGCAATAGAGACATGATTATTTGTCTTTCTATTAGCAGAAGCAACTTTTTCACAACATTGAGTGCAATTAATTGTGTCCAAGAAAAAAAATACCTAAAAAAAAATAGTGTCCAAGAAAATCTAACATTTGTAAATCTAAGATTTCAAGAGCATTCAAAAATCAATTTGAAGAGCATTCGAAAAATCAATTTCAAGCTCCTAGGTCTAATTTCAAGAGCATTCAAAAATCAAAAGAATTTCAAGACTTCAATCCATCCAATAGCAATTCAAAAGTAATTTCATATGTTAAAAACAAACAATTAATATGTAAAAAACTGTCAATATTCAACTACAAATAAAAACTTAACAAAAACTTGATTGTAGGGACAGAGTTCAGGAATCAAAATCAGGGGGCTCACCTTCTCCTTCTGCAGTTTCTGCTGTGCTACCGTGCTGGTGCTAGCATCGCGAATCGAAGGTTAAGGAGACTCAGCCCTCAAGGTCCCACTATCTCAGGTTCGCAGTCTGCTGCCGGTTGCTTCAAGGGCTCTATTTCGAAGCCCGAAGGTGTTGCTGCTGCGTGAATCGTGACTTGCATCTAGGGCAGCCACGATTGAGAAGTTCAACATCGGAGACTGCAGATAAACGGCAAAGACACGGAGGCGGCCGATAACTGATTGAAGAAAGTGTTTTTTGGGAAAGAACGGCACAAAGGCAGTAGGAACGAACGAAGACGCCGGCCCTATTTGGTAAAATTCATGGAGATGAAAAATAATTGGGATGAGACGAAAAGATAAGGAAAAGAAAAGCGGAAAAAACTGCATTTGGGCATACATATGCACGCCATAATAAGTGTAATTTTTTAACAAACACGCCGTACATATGCACGCCATAATAAATCCAATTCTTTTAACCAAACAAGGCATGCCTTTAAAGAACATCGTAAATATTCACATTTTACGGCGTGCAAATACGTCAAGTTATTATTTTTTTACGGCATACAAAAAGCACATGCTGTAAATAGTCTTCTTTCACAGCATGCCATAAATGCAAGCCGTAAATTCATGCAGTAAAAACCCACTTTTGTTGTGGTGTAGATTTATTAATTTCGCAAATGTTGAGGAAGAATCGCCCTCGAATCTTTTATCGTGTCTTCAATCAATACTTTACAATCATTTGCTAGTCGCTTCAACCAAATTTTCTGCTTCATAATTAAATTTATTTACATCAAATTGATTTTACACCAATTTGGTGTACCGTTAAAGATGCTCTTAAGCAATCATCCATAAAAAATAGAGACCTAGATGCTCTATCATATAAAGATGAGTATTGCTATTTATTTTCAGTATGTACGTGGCTTTAATTATAAAAAAGCGATTTCATATTTATAAATTTAATCTCAATATTTTATGAGACCAATCATATAAATTGGTGAATTCTTTAATAAAGATAAATAACATTATTCATAAGATTGAGGGCTGGGATAATATGTTTTAGTTTTATTGATAATAGACTTGCCCCCCATTTGGTAACAATTTTTTACCCCAAAAAAATCAAATTTTTTTTTATGATTATTTCACTATTTTAGCCATCATTTTTTACTTCTTTACTCACAGATGGAACACATTTTTCTCTCTAACGGTCTAAAAATCAATTTTCATAATCACTATCGAACAGGCATTGATCTAATGCCAATGGTGGGCATGAATTATAATGGCGTGGCAACAAAATAGCGGATGTTGCCACACCCACTATAGACGTGACAACACAATATTGGATGTAGTCACGTTCATGGTGGGCATATAATTCATGCACCACGTGGTAGCATCGACCGATCGTAGGCATTAGATTATTTATATTATTAATAATAATATTGCTAATATCGATTATCAAAAACAAGTAGATAATCACTAGACGAGATCCATCGTTCAAAATTGGTTGTCCAACTTGCTATTCATTCAATAATTATTGACACTCAATTTAAATTAACATATTTAACTTTTCTCTCATTACCACTTATACTTAAAAATATAAATCATGCTACTTATACATTGAGTTTGACATTATTCTTTACATTACGCCACATGACGACATCACACCGGACATTTTGAAATTAAAAAGCACTTTCTTGCCAACACTTATTTTGAAAACAATGGAATATCAAGAATGATGTCAAAATGTTAATGTACAAATAGCATTGTTGTAAAAATATATGTAAAATCATAATAAATATTAGCAAAGAATTATTATAGTTATACAACCAAAATTTACAACTTGGTTAACAATTAGTAGTGTTTGGGGATTCACATTACTGATTAAAAAAAAAATCTATTTTATCATTAAATGTGAAAAAAAAAACAATTTTTGAAGTGTATGATATGAATCTCTACCAACTCATTGATCTTAAACCAAATTGCTAACTAAATTGTATAACTAGCATGCTTCTATAACAAATTGGAGAGGCGATTCTGGACAATCTCAACTCACAGAGCATTACCTAACGATGACAGCAAATGCTTTTAAGTAGCCATTATTTGTAGTCTGTCCCACCCCAGCATTAACACGCTTTCCTAGCCCAATTTCATCTCAAATTCGTCTTCAACACCAGCAACAGATCTACTCTTGATCGATCTTTTCCATCTCTTGGAAGTGTTTTTTACTAGTGTTGCAGCTGACGGTTCCCCCAAAATTTCCTCTTTGATTACATCGTCAGGTTAGTCGTATTGTTTTAGTAATTCATTTCTCATTTTAAGATATGTAGAATAGTTGTTATTTAACACACCCATTTCTCATTTTCTTGTTTTTGTGAAGAATAATTTATTTAACCCAGGTTTATTTTCTGCTTCTTTGTGTCAATTAATCCAATAGCTCATGATAAAAGAATTATTTCGTGCCCTTTTTTTGCAATTTGTGAAGTAATTTTTCTTTTGGGGTCTTGGTTTTTTGCGAGTTTCTGGGCAATTCGGGGGAGTTATTCATTCTATATGTAGCAGTAAAACTGTAGAAGTTACTGCAATCAAGTGAAAAGGCCGAAAGGTCTGCATTGTATTTTTGTACAATGTCCCATTTTTTCCTATTACAAAAATTTGACATTTGATGATGGGTTTATTGTTTAATTAGGCATCTGAAGAGGCTTTTTGGTGAACGAATTATAGTATTTGTGGCAAATGGGGCCTATATTCTACATACTGATAGCTTTGCCTTGTACAATTGGGGCAATTGCGTTGGCGCTTCTCCACATTTACAGGCATCTCATGAATTATACTGAACCCACGTATCAGAGATACATTGTCCGAATTATCTTTATGGTTCCTGTAAGTATCCAGCTGCCCCTAATATTGATTCTACTTAAATCACATCTATTTCACTCTTCTTCATGCATTTGATTTTAAGGTTAGCCTTTGTGTTAAGTTTGGCAATTTCCTAAGGCAAAATCAAAGTCCTAGTTGAAATGTATTAGGTGTTTATCGAGTTATAATCAAAGTCAAAATAGTTGAGGATTGGTAGTATAGGTCTTGAAAGAGTTCAAGATATCCAAGGATCGGGAACTGTTGCACAAAGCACAAATTCAAGAGGACTAAGGTGAGGTACTTGGAGCCAGGATTTGACGTCGGGAGCACGCAGTCCAGGAGGGCTAAGGTATAAAACAGAAGTCGGAATTTGTTTTGAAGAGGCACACCTCCATTAAGATCAAGGGAGACTTCCGAAATTAAGGACAAAAGTTCTACGGAATAGACGGGCCTGGTCCACAATGTAAGTTTGCTTCGATTTATAGTGGATTATTGACCAGCAAAGTGTCCGGAGTATTTCCCAAGTTGGGGTTTCTTCGTCATCATCTTTGGTTTTCTTTATTGTTTTAATTATTGATCGTGGCATTCATTCCATGGGATAATTGAACTTGATTGACCAATGACCCAGAAACAATTAAAAGTGACTTGTTGCTTTTAATTATGTAATTCCGCTCATTGGATCTAAATAAATCGGTTAATTAGAACTTTCACTTTGCAATCACTGAACTATTATTTGAAGTCTTTAATAATTTTTATTATTTGGGGGAGAAAAAGGAAGGGGTGGATTCAAATTGATGAATAAAGAATTCTACAAGAATGTTCTATTAGAAAGGATGAATTGATTTTCTGTAACAAGAAAATTACTAGAAGAGAATGTATTGTTTTTATGTAACTATAATTAGTAGGCTAATTCTTACTGTGTTTCTCGTATCTACGCATCAATCTACTGCTCAAAATATTTAAGAATGTAACATTTTAATGGTTGCTACATTGTGAATTATTACATTCCTCCTTTGAGCATTCCTAGTGAGAATGGAAGTTTCGAGGTAAGGGGTGAGAGGAATTTAGCAATGCAGGCACAAGATACGTGGATTTGTGAATGGAATAGTAGTTGCTAGGTTTGATTCTTATTTGTAATGACATTTATAAATCAGTGTTTTTTGGTGATATCCTCTCAAGTGAGGTTTTCTTTTATTTTTCTTATTATTAGCTAGTCTTCTAAAGTTGAAAGGTTTTTAAAAGAGCACTATAGGACTTGAAAGGATTCTGTCATTTTGACTATTCTCATAATGGTTTCAACATTATCTTTATACTCAAATATCGCCATGACACACCATGTTATGGTGTCAGGAAACACGAACTTATCAAGATGAGATAACAATGGGAAGATATTGGCTGAGATAACTAGTACATTGGCAAAACTTTGCCACAAAAAGTTACAAATACCAGGATGATATTTTGCTCAAAGCATGAGCGGACCTTATATGCACAATATAATAGATTAATAGCTTTTTGCAAAAGGGAAAGGCTGCAGATGTCTGATCCCTCCGCGTCGCTGTCAAACCTCATAATATTTAAATGTTAAAAGTAAGGTTTAGAGAGATTATAAGGACCTTTATGTCAGTGTTTTTTATTTGACATGATTTTCACCAGTAATAAAGTTTCAGCGAAAGAAGGGAACCTTTTTTTTACTTTACTAGTTGAGATCCTCATACATGTAGATTTTGATTTGTGAGCTTCTTTAGTGATGGATATATTGGATGTTTTCAACAACAATGAAATATTGCATAGAAGTTTTTAGAGTGAAATTCCATTTGGTACATCCAGCATAGTGGTGTATCTAAAAGGAGGAATCGTTAACTATTAGATATAGTGTGATTAATAACAAGCCATGTAAATCTCCAAAAATCGTTTTGGGGTCATGCACTGATTGCAGTGTGCAACACACTAAATCATGCCACATCTAAGTTGATTGACAGAACTCCATATGAGTTATGGAAATGCAATAGTCCCAATTTATCTCATATGAAAGTTTTGGGCCATAACGGTTATTTGAAGCGCCTTTAATCGGATAAGTTTGAGACTAAATCCGATAAATACATATTTGTGGGATATTCAAACCAGATATTTGAATATAAATTCTATTATTGTGAAGAAAGTCTTCATTTCACGACATATCATCTTTTTAGAGAAAATGTTTACTCTATGGGAGGACAGTGGGAGCAAAATAGAACATGAAAGAATTCAAGAGTCCACAAATATAGTTAGCCAAGTAGATGAATCCGAGTTTGATCTCATATCTAAAATGGGACATACTCTTGATCAGGAAGTAAAGACTCTTGAGGACATGTCAGCTCTATGTGAATCCAGTAGGATCATTCGACTTTCAAGAAGGTGCGAATCCATGATTATTAATCAGGTATTACTGATCCAGGTTAATGAAACTGCTAGTTGCACCAAAATAAAGTCAAGTGTTGACTTAAAAGAGACGGCAAGAGGCCATAAAACTCGATATGAACTCGA